GGGTGATGTGTGTGGGGGGGGTAGGGTGCTGTGTGTGAGGGGTAGGATGCTGTGTGTGGGGGGTAGGGGTGGTGTGGTGTGTGGGGGATAGGGGTACATTAAAAAATATATATATTTATAATTCTTTATCCCCCCTCCCTTCCTCTTACCTTTGGTGAAGGAGTGGGGGGGACACAGCTATCTCTGGTGTTCCGGTGGTGGTAAGTAGGTTTGTGTGAAGCAGCTCTCCTGTGCTCCCGCGCGATGCTGTGTGGAGCGTTGCCATGACAACGCTCGGCAACGCTCCACACAGCATCGCGCGGGAGGACAGAAGAGCTGCTTCCTAGAGCCCTCCCCCTGCCTCCCGACACGGAAGCAGAGTAGGCACCTGCCGTTTCGGGCAGACAGGCGCCTACTCTGCAGACAGCCAGCGGCCCCCTCTCCCAGTGACTTATGGCCGAGTGCCCACAGAGAGGGCCCGGCGTGCCACCTGTGGCACGCGTACCATAGGTTCGCCATCACTGTTCTATAGGATATACTTGGACTTTCTTCTTTTACTATTGATTTATGTTGTACCTTTATTATGTGACTTGTGATGTCGCTGTATCAGGAGGAAGTGCCTCAGTGGGAAGTGCATGTTATATACTTTACTTATCTCTGATTAGTAGATGATCCTGTCATTATTAAAATTATTAGTACACCGAAGCTAGCATATTGTTCAATTGCCATCAACACATTATTTAAAAGGTTAAGCTATGCACTAAAATGTGCATACCTTCAGTCCCATTTAAATAAATAGTCTACATTATCAGTACCTTTTTCTCTGGCACCAAGGACCACACTGCACAATTCGTCAGGGTAAGATATTGTCCCCTCTTCCCAATTTTCTTCCAGAAAGGCATCATCCCTCATGCCTGCTTCTTCTTCCAGTCAGGTATCGGCCCCTATGCTCAAAACATCATTTTTATAAATAAGCTTTTAGCTACTTGAGCCAAAGTAATATCTCTATGCCAACAGGTCCTAGGATTCTGTAGCAGATCCTCACTGCCTCAGGGGGCAATATCCTCCAGAAATCAGAGCCTTATCTCTGTCACTGTAATCCCTGAAAGGCCAGTGTTCCAAAATAAACTTGTTTAAATTATATATGTTAAACAGTGGGCTTTTATGGTGAAAGATGTAAAACAACACATAAATCATAACATTATGTACAAAAGAGTAGGCATCAACACAATAAATATAACTCAGTTACAAGGATGGGGAGTCAGGGAAATATTATTTTATTTAAATGACGACATAGGAAAAACAAACATTGCCAGTTCTATTTCAGAGACATTATTATGCTTCTTGATAAAATAAACAACCCTTATATGTCTTTAAGCCAAAGGTTTTTTTTTTGTAGTTTCCCAGGCTTAGTAGCATTATTGCACTAAGCATTCCTCAGCAAAATCCCTAACATGGATCTTAAAAATGAATGCTAAGCATTCTAGATACATGGATTAGCTTGTCAAACACTGATTCTGAGTTATTGAAGCTTCCAGCATGGATGCTGAAATAAGCACGTATTGCATTGATCCTGTAATAAGAGTGACTAGCTTGGTCTGTTCTTACAGCATTGGTGGTATCTAACTGACCATTTGATTCATATGAATCCTAGTTACATAGTGAAATTTGTGCAGATCCTTCAGTTCCCATTAACTTGAATGGCAGGATTGGACTGGAGACGGCACGTATACAAACAAAGTTGAAGTCTAAAAACCATTGGAAAGACACTTATAAGATGAATAAATAAGATGTGATAAACAGTTTAAAAAGTGCGTGTTAAGTCAGAATTTATATTAGAAATGCTTGCTGAGCAATATGAAAGCTGTTTATTAATATCGAATACCTTTGTAGCATGAGTGTCTTTTGGATATCTCCCTTCCTTACTTAAGCAAACCACTTTCTATTAGATCTCTCTAGCTTACCAAAGCCCTGAACCTATCTTCCTTTATTTATTAGCATTGAGCCTCATGTTATATTAAATGTTCAGGAACTTATTATAAAATATAAGCCCCAATTAAAGGAATATAAATGGGCGTCCACTTCCATTAATAGCGTGTACTATCATTTGCAATGGAGAGTAAGGGAGCTGGAGAGAGGACAGAGGAGGTAGAGCTCACGGGTGCTGGTGACCAAACCTGGGGTTACACCATTTGAAAAAGGTTTCAGTCGCAGCTACCAGACCAAACCCCCATGACGTAAGGGGGAATTGATAACCCCGAACAAACCAACACCTCACAGATAGTGAGGTATGGTAGCCAAGGCCTAGAAACAAGCACATATAGACACGTACAAAGAGGTGGTGAGACAATGAGATGTTGCCAAAGCTTTGGTGGAGTGACAGAGTGATAAACCAGACAAACAGAGTGACAGCCTGACCGGGTAGTTACACGCTAACCCCACACTAAGAACCAAACCCAGTATCAGTTCCACCAACCCCCCCCCTACACACACACCAAACCCCAAGTTCTTTTAATGATAATTCATGTTCAGTTAAGGTGGCCGTGATAAGACGGCCTAGGAGCCATAGGTTACACATGTTACAGTGTTTCATGGGGCAATGTATCTCGACATATGCTGGAACTGTTGTGAATGTAATAATGTTTGATTGTAATATTTGTTAAACCACAAGGAACACCATGTTTGTATTGATGTTCACCTGAACAATAAAAATTGTTGACGGGGGAGCTGACGTCGGCGGGGGAGGAGAGGTCACCAGCACCAAGGGAGCCCGGCGATTAAGGTAAGTAACTGAAGGGTTTTTAACCGCTTTGTTTTCCTGACACTATAGTGATCCTTTAAATATAGCTATGCCACATAAGGGTACCAAATTAGGGAGCAATATACTAAACAAACGACAGGACAAAATTAAAAAAAATCTATTTTCTTTATGTTGATCATTCAGCTGTATAGTAAATCCCTAATTTTGCATCCATATGTGTTATTGCCTTATTTAATTATACCAAATAATGGAGCTATCTTATCCACATACTGAATTAGGCAGATTAAAAAAAACTAAGAAAAGGGCATTTCTTAATTTTGATCTTTCAGTATTCTTCATCAATCAATGACCGAATTGTATGGAAGAATTTAATCCATCATGAGATTTGGGATTTATTTGATTCGGTCATCTGGCGATTCAGTCATGCATTACTCTGGCTTGTTAACTTATGTTGAGGAAAATAAGGCACGTGCAACAACTCGTCCAAATCAAAAAGATTATTATTAAACAATCAAGCAGGATTACAAAACAAAGTAACAGAGTTTTAGCACTTTCAAAGTAATTCAGCTGGCGTGCACTACGATCAGATAAATGGTGTATTTATACTTTTTGAAAATGTCCCAGTAATGTGTTTTGACCAATCCAAGTCTCTGCACGTTCTCCAAGTCTCTGCACGTTCTCCAACTCTGAGTTTCTTTATCTCGTCCTCACAGTACTTTGGTGGCTGATGTAGCATTTGAGAGTAAAGGTGTGCATGCAAACAGAATAGATGAACCAAGCAGTAAAACATTTTTTGTTTCATATGGCTTTTAGAGCATCAATTTGATATTAAGCACAGGGCAAGACATGGGCAGTTAATATTTTCTTTAACACTTACTATTCTGATTTCTTGCATCCCTGACCTCGGCTTGTTCCTGGTTTTGTAACACGTTAGAGGGGTCTTTCTTTTCAAGTTAAAGAAATAAGCTAAGGACCAAAACAACCTTAGCTTAAAGAAGCACTGTTAGTGTATATATCATGCCATCTCACTGCTCAATTATCTCATTTAGGAGTTAAATCAAATTTGTTTCTGTCTATGCAGCCCTAGCTACACCTTTCTTATCTGTGACTCACACAGTCAATATGAAAAAATACTTTCATGTTCAGTCAGATGGGTGTTTGCTTTATAAGTTTGTATCTCCTGTTTTCTTAATTGAACTTTAATCACAGACTGGCGACTTCTGCTGGGTCTATAAGGATAGTAACATGACTCCAGGACAAAGAGACTCGCAGCACTCATTTCCTTCCATGTTGCTGATCAGCAAGGGGCCTGACCACACTGACCGGGCCCCTGCTGACGCATACCCACCGGGTGGCCTCCTAAGTGTGCGGGCCCCAGTGCACCTCAGCAGCTGCACCAGCGGTAGTTCCTCATGGGCAACCTGAAATGTTTTGGGTGCCTCGTATGTTGTGCAGGGCAAAGCTAAACCATTTCAGAACAGTGTAACTATTCAAGGTAAGAATGCACCTCGGGGCCTCCTGGCACCATAACAACTTCATTTAGGTGGTTATAATGGTGCCCGGCTGCCCTTTTACTGTCAGCATTACTGTCTGCTGTGGAGCTCTGTTACAGACTCAAGATTCAACAATAATATGGAACTCCCTAGGAAAAAAAAAAGGGACATTAGGATAGGAAAGAGGAATTTTGGTTTAAAATAGGGACTTTCCCTCCTAAATATGTACAATTCACAGCATCCATTGTCACCATATTAGTTTGGTCTCCCAGGACTTTATTAGAAGAAAACTCTCTCTCTCTCGTTTATTTACAAAATCAGACACATGGTGACGTCACAGCGCTGACACCTCTACAACCCTTTAACTCCATGATCCCCTGGAAGGTCTGCACGCACGCATTCACGCCTTACTGTGCACGTCTGCAACCAGCACGCGCCTTTGTTTACATGCCTCCCGGGGTCAGTGGGCGTGGTTAACCCTATGCAGAGCTCCCCCCCCCCCAGATAACCTAGTATTACAGAAAGACAGTATATCAATGTGGAAATAACTGGTAGTTAAGAAATAAGCAAAAACTAAAGGGTTGCTGTTTGATTTTTTTCAATGAAATTGAAAGATTATAAATACAAGGATCCCTCCAGCGTGTCACGTGACGCATTCTCGCTGAGTCTAAACAGTAATAACAGTACTAACGTGCGTTGAAGCTGCGCGGCGCTCGCCTCCCCCCACTCCCAACGCTAGATGTCGCTGTTGCGTTGCTCGGGCGGCCGTCGCTCTGGCCAGCAAGACGCCCGTCTCGTTGGTCAGTGTCGGGCCGGGCAGTCAGCGGTCGGTCGCTCGGTGTTGTCCGTTGGCTTGTCGTCGGGTCACGCTGGCCGGCGGATGGCGGAGGCCGGGGGGGTGTCGGCGGCAGAGCCGCTAGGAGAGACGGAAAGAGAGCCTGAGCTCCAGAGCCCCGGCTGGAGCCGATCCCAGCTCCGCTCCTACCAGTTCCAGACCCGGGCGATCCCACGGCTCCATCACAGCGACCCGCGGGCCGAGGAGTACATCGACAACGAGGTGACCGCACTGCCATGTGTCCAGGACACCTGCTGCCGGCTCTGTCACCCCGGAGCCAGCTCGGCATGGGCTGACCAGGACCTGCCGGGGTCACAGCGGGGCTCACCGAGGGGCACACAGCGAGGGTCACTCAGCGGGGCTGACGGAGGGTCACACAGCGAGGGGCACACAGTGGGACTGACGGAGGGTCACACAGCGGGGCTGACGGAGGGTCACACAGCGGGGCTGACGGAGGGTCACACAGCGGGGCTGATTGGAGGGTCACACAGCGGGGCTGACGGAGGGGTCACACAGCCGAGGCACAGCGGGGCTGACGGAGGGTCACACAGCGGGGCTGACGGAGGGTCACCTGGCGAGGGGCACACAGCGGGGCTGACGGAGGGTCGAGGGTCACACAGCGGGGCTGGCGGAGGTCACACAGCGACGGAGGGTCACTCAGCGGGGCTGACGGAGGGTCACTCAGCGGGGCTGACGGAGGGTCACTCAGCGGGGCTGACGGAGGGTCACTCAGCGGGGCTGACGGAGGGTCACTCAGCGGGGCTGACGGAGGGTCACTCAGCGGGGCTGACGGAGGGTCACTCAGCGGGGCACACAGCGAGGGTCACTCAGCGGGGCTCACTGAGGGGCACCAAGAGAATGGGGTCTGTCTGAAAAACAAAGGACGTGACTGGGAGTGGTTCTCGTAGGGCTTGGTCCCCTATCTATTTACCTACCTCAGGGTTATTTACTGAAGCGAGAATTTAAAGTGAATTTCAAATTTAAACCAAAACTTAAAATGGACAAAGTGGAAGTAATAGCTCAGATATAGAGAATATTTCCAGTGTGGCTGTTTTTACCCTGAATTTACCTCTAGACCTCAGACAGGGTCCTCATCAACCTATCGTCCCTGTAAAATTTTGTAATCAACTAAATTTTATTGTTACATTTTTACCCTTTTATTTTCAGCTGCGGAATAAGTTGACGCTCTATAAATACCAACAATAATGAAAGTTTGAAATTAGCTTAAAATTTTCACTTTAGTGAGTAACCCTGTATGTGTCAGAGAGTGCTGCCTAGATAGATTTATATATAGTATGCAGATGCTTGTGTTTTCACGTAGGGTTTGCTTGTGTTCTTTTTCATTTTGTGTGTCGGAGACGAGCTTTCTGTAATTTATTCTTGTATCAAATTGGCGAAACACCGTTGTGCTAGTCAACTGTGGTCTAATGGCAGTTGGGGGTCAGCTGCTTATTATCATGGGGAAATAATGCTTGGGGGTCAGCATTCTATCTAGTCACTTATGTCAAGTAGCACTTTGGGGTCAATTTTCTGTGATCCAGTGGTGCTTGGGGTCAGTTGCTCGTATAGTCACCCATGTGTAATACCTCCCAAGTGTCCTTATGTAAAAGGGATAGTCCCTATTTTGGGCTTAAATCCATCTTTCCCCCTTTTCTATCCTTTCTAGGAGCATCATATTGTTGGTGCGTCGGAGCGTATAACTTAACTCCATAGTAACAGCAATACAATAATGTGTCTTTAAACTACAATATATGTTTTAGACATTGGTTGTGGTAACCCTTTTAAAGTTCAAGTTAAGCTCAAGGTCTAAAGCACAACTTGTAAGAAAAACTGAAAAGTAAAGCTAACCAACAGATCTGGCAGGCTTTGTTGATATATAATTCATGCACAGCTGACTGATCTAAGCCAGTCAGAGGCACACCTATCCTCTGCACTCCAGGCTTCAGTTTTGAAGATTTTCAGTAAGCAGATGTTGGAGGGGACAGAGTTAAACCGTCCCGGAGACTAGACTTTGGGGTTAAACTGTTCATGAAGGGTTTAACCCTGAAAGATCAGACCGTGTCATGGACCATGACAACTTCATTTTGATTAAGTTATGGTGCTTGGAGTGGCCCTTTAACACAGAGGGATTCTCTCAGCTGATTTCTAAAGAGGGATTTCCCCTGTTTAGACCATACAGAGACAATACAGTGTGTGATCAGTGTGTGTTAAAGTCCTGATCTGAATGATGGCATGGAAAAATCATGTGGTCCCTAAGGGGTTACAAACATGATTGAAACCATTTGGCAAATCAAGAAGTGCATCTATCAACTTTGAATAGTATCATTTCATTTATTTTTTAGTTTGAAAGTCCCTGCACAGCCTATAGAAAGCATAGAGTGTGTGGAGTGATCCTAACACATCTAAAAGCAAACCAGTATTTTTTTTTTATCTAAATTTTTTTCAAATTTACCATGGCATGTTAATATTTTCTCAATGAGCTTTGCCAATTTCTCTTGTATATGCTTTATTTTAAAATAAGCAGTGTGCACCTATATGCATTTTCCAGATCATTTCTGGCATGTAAATACACAATCACTTCCAAGAATTCCTTCTCTGCTCTAGGCTGAAATATGCTCATCCAGTTCACCATAATGCCTAACCCAGTCTCTAGTCGTAAATCTGTATATAAACAGTAGAAAGAATGTTTAGTTATGGGTATTTATTACCTTATTGTATGTAAGGCTGTAGTATGTGGAATTTGAACACTGATAAAGATACAATACAGATTTCACTTAATTCTGATTTCAAACACTCATGTACAGTTCTTGTAGATAATATGCACTGTCAGACAGTGTCTTTAAAGGAACACTATTGAGTTAGGAATCCAAATGAGTATTCCTAACGCTGTAGTATCCTGGTCCTAGTGTCCTGTCCCTCCCCTCCTGGAACACTAAGAAGTCATTCTAGTTTCTTTCCATCCGACACCGCACTTTTCTCTCCACAGTCACCACGCCTCTCTAGCTAAGTTAATTAATCTGGATGATCTCAGCCAATGCAATGCTTTCCCTTAAAGGGACACTATAGTCACCAGAACTACAGCTTAATGTTGTTGTTCTAGGAAGTATAATAGCTCCCTTCAGGCATTTACATGTAAACACTGCCTTTTCTGAAAAAAGGCAGTGTTGACTTTGCCCCTAGGGACACCTCCAAGTGGCCACTCCTTAGATGGCCAATGGAGGGGCTTCCTGGCTCAGGGCTGCACAGTGAGCAGCCCTGCCGTTCAGCGTCACCACGTTCTGCATGGAGACGCTGACTTTTCCTCAGAGATGCATTGATTCAATGCATCTCTATGAGGAGGTCCTGATTGGCCAAGACGGCATTTGGCCCTGCCCCGTGCCAGTTTTAGCCAATGGTGGGTTAAACAATATAGGGTCAGGAATACATTTGTTTGTGTTCCTGACCCTATAGTGATCCTTTAAGAAAGCATTGGGATGATATTTTACATATGTAGCAAAACGCAAAGCTGCGCAGGTCTGAATGAAACAGGCACAAAGCATGCAGCTGCAGACTTGATTACAAGTAAGATTTCCTATATTTATGGAGGCAAGAGGGGACCAGAGTGGCTAGATGGTGGTTTTAACCCTACACGGTCAGGAATTCATGTTTCCTTTAATGAAGTACTTTTGGTGTATAGATCATGCACCTGCAGTACCACTGCTCAAAACTCCATTTAGGAGTTAAATCACTTTCTTTATTCAGCCTACTGACACTTCCCTGCATGTTACCTACACAGCCTTCCTAAACACTTCTGGTAAAGAGACATCTAATGTTTAAAGTTCCTGTGTAACATAATCTGTTTAATTTAGAATATATCTCTTGCTCTGTTAATAGCCTTCTAGACCCTGCAGAGTCCTTGTGTGTGATTTTAAATTTCAATTTTCAGCACAGGAGATACAAACTTATAAATAAGGTAAATATGTGACTGAAAATGAATCCATTTTTTCATGCAGGCTGTGTGAGTTACAGCCAGGGAACGTATGGCTATGGCTGCAGAAACAAAAGTGATTTAACTCCTAAACGGCAGACAATTGTGTGCCGGTAGTGTTCCTTCAATGGTAGCATATGCTCTCTTGATACAGTTGTAATTTAAAATAAATTAAAGCTGCGTTGCTGTAATTAAGATAAACATTTTAAAAGAATGTTTTGTTTTTCGGGCAAACCTAATTGATGTGATATATTATCACACTTTAATAATCTGCATAATCCAAGTGCTGGGATGATTATGCTAACATTTCTTCCAACATTCTTTTATTTTTATTTGATTTAGTTTGTTAAATTTACTGCTCTCTAAAAGCTTCCTAAACAGACCGACCGCTTTATAAACAGATCTCTAAAGTCAGTTTTAAAAACCACCTGGCAGTGTGCTTTTGGCAAAATACACGATTGTGACAAACTAAAAGGACTTGCTGTAATAAACAAGGCTGTGCCTTGCAGATCATATTTACCTTGTTGATGCCTTTTAAATAATGCAGAGTCATTATATTTATTGTTTTACGTTGCATTTAGTAGCTATTACCAAAATATTATTTTAAGTAATGTCTTTGCCTGACATTAGTCATTGGTTATACCTTTGCAAGGTCTGCTTTGCATGTATTGCTTGACTCTGCAAAGGAAATAGTGTGGTAGAATTCTTTATTGAAATTAATGTTGCTGTCTTATTGATATAGCTAAGAGAATTTGAAGAGTTTTTCGAAAGATTCTAAAAATGGTTTTAAACTAGACTAGAGGAGAACGCTGTTCTTCACTGTCCTATATTGTCAACACTAACTTTTTTATATTATCTGCTACTTGAAGTAATGTGCTTTAATTTTGTTCATGTCATAGACATTATCTGCTTCTAGTAAACTGTATTGATATTTGAGGCATCCGGGGAACCTTAAGAATTTCAGGAACACTTTGGCACCATAACCACTTCATTTCCATGAAGTTATTATATTGCTTACATTCTGGGTGCTGTCTTACCTTAAGGGGTTAAATCGTTTACTAACTGTTAAACCCCAAAGTGCTCCAGACAGCGCCCATCTTCCTGTCCATATTGCCGCCTCCTCCTGGTCACTGCTTTCGTGCGGAAGCCTTTCACTATGGCCAGTGATAGGATAAGTGTCAGTCGTATTCTCAGCCTGTCACTGACCACCACTAGAAAAAAAAATGCATTAGAAACATATGTACATAACCTTTTGAAAATAAGATGACACCCATGACATTCAGGCACAATAACTATTTTGTTAAGGCGAAGTAGTTATGGTGCAAAGGCTGTTCCCTAATCTAGTGAAAATTCTGCGTTTATGACCATTTACTGTGTTCAGATTATTGCTGCTAGATGTGGTTCCTCAAGGTTCTGAAGCCTGCTGGAATTCAAAATGTATTAAAATATATGTAACTCCATTTTCAGTGCGGTCCAGTTGTTCTCCTCAGAACCTGTACTGTCTGACGGCCGTAAGTGCTGGTTTATATTTTTCTCCTCTAACTTTTTTATGATTATGACAAATAGTATTATTAAAGGACACTCATGGCACCATAACTTAATTCCAGTAAAGTTGTAATGTTGCCCACTGCGGTACTTTTAAAGTATTTGAGCCAAGAGCAAAAGATCATGTTAATTTAAATCCTTGTCCTATATGAAAACAGACCTTGTTTAGTTGTATATTTATTCATAGAAGAAATATGTAGGGTTTTTGTCTAGACTTATTATGGTTCTGAATCAATATGCGTATTCTACATGACACTTATACTCTTCTTCTTTTTAATCAGGAACCAGTGGTTCTGACCGATACAAACCTGGTACATCCTGCTTTGAAGTGGGATTTGGACTATCTAAAGGATAACATTGGAAATGGGGACTTTTCTGTGTACAGTGCCAATAACCATAAGTTTCTGTATTATGACGAAAAGAAAATGGTTAATTTCAAGAATTTCAAGCCCAAGTCGAGAAGAGAAGAGATTAAGTTTTCAGAGTTTGTGGAGAAACTTCGAGACATTGAGCAGAGAAGAGGAGATGAAAGGTAAGATGAGAGGTGGCCCAAGATTCCCAAAGGCTTTTTATAGTGCACCATTGTGTAGATCTATGGGGAAAAAGAGGGAATGTCATTCAACATTCTGTTAAATGTTGAAATCCTCATGTTTAATGGAATTTTTCCTAATTCTATGTAGAAGTATTTTGTGCTTTTAACAAAACACGAATGATACCGTTAAAATTGTTAGGGTTAGTATAGGATTATTTTGTAAAACTAATCTTTAATGTTTTAAAACAAATGTGAAAAGTAAAATATTTATCATGTAGGTTCCAGCCTGTTGTAGTGGTTATGGTGCCAGGGGAGCCCTGACGTCCTACCACAGTAAGTAGTCAAACTATAGCTAAAAATGTTTTGACAAAGTACCAGGGTCCAACAAGCTCTGCCTCCTCTACAGTTGAAACTCTGCCATTGAATTTAACATGGAGGCTTGGCTTATTGGCTGGAAGAGCTCAGCTGACGCCTGGCAGCGTTAGATCAGTAGTGCTAGCAGGAGTTCCTTGCAGGAGTTTTTTAGCTTCTGGGGAGATATCCGCAAGCACATGGCGGACACCTGGTATGTTGTAAAAAGGTGATTAAAAGGTTTGACAACTTACTCTGAGAGGGAGTCAGGGTCTATGGTAGTGGTGATTTGAGTTTCTCTTTTGATGCTTTTATGATTGTGGATCATTAAATGTAGTAATTATGAAAAGCCATACATTTATGCTCCTGTAATAAATTACCCTCTAAATTTGTTATTCTGACATTCTAAAAGAGTGAATGGAATGTTTCTCTTTACCCTTAAAAATTAAATTTTTGTTTTTCTAGATTATACCTGCAACAGACTCTAAATGACACTGTGGGCCGGAAAATTGTAGTAGATTTCTTGGGCTTTAATTGGAATTGGATTAACAAGCAACAATCAAAGCATGGCTGGGGGCAGCTTACATCTAACTTACTACTCATTGGAATGGAAGGTAATGGAGAAGATGCATTGGAATGGCAGCACAAATATAATAAATCAAATGCAGTTTAACTCCTTAAGGACACAGCTTCAGAAGCTTGTCTTACGCTTAATAACACAAGCAATTTTTGCATTTTCTTGCTGTATGCGTTCAACTGCAATTTGCATCTCTCTCGTTTATTGCACCGACACATATTATATACTGTTTTTTTAAAGGACAGAAAGGGCTTTAATTTGATGTAACACATTATTTATATATATATATATATATATATATATATATATATATATATATATTATTATTATTATTATTATTATTATTATTATTAAAAAAAAATACAGAAGAATGCAAAAAAGAGAGATGTTGTGCTTTTTGTACAGTTTTTGCAATAATAAAAGTAATTAAAAATAAATAAATTTAGTTCTGATTTACAGAATATATAATGTCTGGGATTTTAAGTTATTTTTTTAATTTTTTTTTTGGTAGTTACAGGTCACAAAGCACAAGGAGTAAAATAAATTTTTAATGTGGAGCGATTTTAGAATTTGGTATGTTTGTCTTGTAAGCTTAATAGCCATAAAAGAAAACAAAATTGCCACACAAAAGTATATATTTACATAAAGTAGATATCACAGGCTATTGTCCTAAGGTTGTTTTGACACTTTCTACGTAGCCATTTCACTGCCAATCTCTGCTAAATATTGGAGTAAAATTAATTTTTTGGGGATTTTTGGCACATAAACTTAAAACAAAGAAACTCTCATGTGTATTTTGTAAAGTTGGTGTGTGCTATTCCTGTACAAAGTTTTTTTTATTTTGTGTTCAGTTACTTCTGCTGAGTACAACAATACCCCCATTGTATGTCTTTGGCACTATTTCGTGAAGCTACAGTGCCATATAGGAGACCTGTCTGTTTCAACATTTTCAGTAGAATTTTGAGAGGCGGATTTAATGGGCCTATGCTTCAATTTGGGATATTATAGCAGTTTGACTGTTCAAAAAAATCCCACAAAGGCCTACCATTTGTAAAAGTAGACACACTAGGGTATCTCATATGGTGCATATTGTGCCTTAACATGCCCCCATTTTTTCACCAATATATGCCATAGTATGTGGTAAATAATTTTGGGCATTTTTTTTACATATGGATTATATTTTTGCTGGGCATTTTGTACATTTCATATGTGCCACTAAATTTAAACCCCCCAAATTATGCTCAGCTAAGTCTTCTGAGTAAAACAATATGCCCAATGTATGACCTAGACACTATTTTGTGAAGTTACACTTCTGTAAAAGAGACGTGACAAGTTAAAGGACCACTCTAGGCACCCAGACCACTTCAGCTTAATGAAGTGGTCTGGGTGCCTGGTCCAGCTAGGGTTAACCCATTTTTTTTTTATAAACATAGCAGTTTCAGAGAAACTATGTTTATAAATGGGTTAAGCCTTCCCCCAAAGCCTCAAGTGGCTGTCTCATTGACAGCCGCTAGATGCGCTTGCGTGCTTCTCACTGTGATTTTCACAGTGAGAGCACGCAAGCGTCCATAGGAAAGGATTGATAATGCTTTCCTATGCGACCGGCTGAATGCGCGCGCATTCAGCCGACAGGGAGGATCGGAGGAGGAGAGCTCCCCGCCCAGCGCTGGAAAAAGGTAAGTTTTACCCATTTTCCCCTTTCCAGAGCCGAGCAGGAGGGGGACCCTGAGGGTGGGGGCACCCTCAGGGCACTATAGTGCCAGAAAAGAGTGTTTTCCTGGCACTATAGTGGTCCTTTAAGGTTTTTAAGTGTGAATTTTCATGGAGGGTTTTGATGCATCCGTGTCCCACTTTGGAGCACTTGAGCAGGCTACATATTACAACTACACCATAAAGGCATACCATTTCTTAAAGAACACATCCCAGGGTATTTCAAAAGGCATATTTTGAACGTTAGCGTGGGATAATTTTTCCGCTAGCTTGTACCAAGTGTAGTGATAATAAGCGTTTTTTTGCCTTTTTGACACACAAAGTGAGTTTGCACAGTATAGTTTGCAAATCGTATGTGTGCTCCTACTGTATAATACTTCATATGTTGCCCAGTTATGTTGGCTGAGTACAGCAATACCCCTGTATGTACCTTTGCCTGGTATATGTGGACATCGGAGGGGCACATTTGGGACACAGCCATTCCAGTTTTTCTCAAATTTTGAATTTTTACGCTGTGTCCATGTCCCATTTTAGAGTATTTTACAAGGCTATATAATCCAATTACACCATAAAGGCACACCATTTCTTAAAGAAGACATCCCAGGGTAATTCAAAAGGCATATTTTGAACCTTAACGTGGGATAATTTTTCTGCTAGCTTGTACCAAGTGTAGTGGTAATGAGCATTTTTTTAATGTGTTTTTTTTACTTTGTAAAACCCATTTTTAAACGTATTTTTACTTATTAAATGTTTTACACTTAACTTTTTTACACTTTTAAATTTTTTTCTAAACTTTTCTTTTACCGTTAACCCCTAACTAGCAGTAAGCCGCACTAACAGTAAATTCCCCCCTCTCCCATAACTCCCACCCACTCCAGCTAGCAAAATATATATAATTATAAAATATTTAAATTAATTAAATTGAACCCCTGAGGGTTAAAAAATAAATAAAGGTTAATCCTCAGGGGTTAAAAGAAATTAGATTACAGTATAATACTGTGATCTGTATTTGGATCACTGTAGGCAGTGATCAACTGGCAGGGAAGGGGTTAATTTTTATTTAGACTGGGTAAAGGGGGGTGGTATATATATTTTATTTATTTAAACGTTGTTAAAACATTTTTTAAAAACTTTTTTTTTACCTTTTTAAAGCTTATTTTAAAACTTTTTTAACGTTAACCCCTAGTTAGCCTAACACCAAATTCCCCAGTTCCCCACTAACTTCCACCCATCCCAGCTAGTTAAATATATAATTTTTATATATTTTAATTAATTAAAATAAATTTAACCACTGAGGGTTAAAAAAAATAATAAAAATGTAACCCTCAGGGGTTAAAAAAATTCAGATGACATTAAAATGTATACCCTGCCAATTGATCACTATAGTCAGTGATCAATTGGCAGGGAAGGGGTTCATTTTATTAAAGATGGGGAAAGGGGGGGGTGGGATTTAACTTTTTAAATTTTTTTACACAGGGAGAAGATCAGCAGCACTGATCCGTCTCTCTGCACTTCACACAGAACCCGGAAGTGCAGGGAGGCGGAAGGTGAGTATACTGAGCACATGTGCTCGCTCTGACAGCCTGTCAGAGCGAGCACCGGTGCTGGGGCAGCGCGATCCGGTGCTCCCGGTCTGCCTCGAATACAGAGGCAGACCTGAGCAACGTTAACCCCGCGATCGCCGCGATAGTGCGATCTGGGGTTAACTTTAGTAAATAACGAAAATCTTCTGTCAAGGGTCCTTAACTGAAGGACAAGGTTGACGGAAAATTTCCGTCTGCGGTCGGGAAGGGGTTAAAGGAACACTTCAGTGACCATTACTTAATCTGAATGAAGTTATGGTACCATGAAACCTCCTGGGCTCTGTAACCTTAAGGGGTTAAACTGTTCTAGAATGAAAGGTTTCCATGGATCTGCAGTTCCACCAGTTGCATCCGGCTTCTGAAATTAAATTTTCAGGAAGCGTGGAGTGCTGTCACACAGAGTGGAACTGCATATCCATTGCTGGAGGCAACCTTTGGGGTTAAACTGTTTTGACAATGGTTTAACCCCGCAAGGTAACAAAGTGCCCTGGGGCCTCCTGGTACCATAACGTCATATAGGTTAAGTTGTTATGGTGACCGGATTGTCACCATATTGTCACATTTGAATCATAATCTTGTCCTGAAAGACCTTAAGTTAGCATAGTATCCTGCTAATTTAGCTTTTGCAGAACCATACCTTTGTTAATTAAATGGGTCATTGTATTTTAGAATAGAATCCTCCTACCCAAAATCATTCTGAAATACTCAGTGACAAATTCCAATGCAGTCAAAAGATATTAAACATAAAGTAGGGACAACTTTGTCTTATGTGTTTTTTGCCTTTGTTGACAAAAGGCGGAACTGCTTCAGTTATGTTTTGTTATTTCCCCCAGCCGTCTCTAGTCATGGCTTTCAGGGAAAAGGTATTGTCTATGGCAGGCTTCCCCAAACTCTGGCCCTCCAGTTGTTGCTGAACTACAACTCTATGAATGAAATAGGCTGAGAATCATTGGAGTTGTAGTTCAGCAACATCTGAGGGCCAGAGTTTGGGGAAGCCTGTTCTATGGAATCAAGTGGTGCCGATGTTGTCTACCACTGTAAATACTCAATGGGGGCTATGATTCATTACCCTATAAGGGGTTTTAGCCCTAGACAATACTAATGAGAAACAAAGAATGTGGTGAACCACCAAAAATAGGTCAAATATAACCTTTAATGAATAATGATAAAACACTATCCAACAAGTGGATGTATAATATAACAATTAAGTACTCTGTAGTAAAGGGAATGTAAATACGAAAGAAAAAGTGATCAAATAAAGCAAGTGCAAAAAACTAGAGTACAGCGAAGCAAAAATAATAATAATAATAATAATAAAAAATATATATATATAACTTGTCCTGTTATAAGAAGAAAACACACACAAACCTGGCACTCAGAGTAAATATTCTTTGGGAAACCTGAGTGGTAACATCCTAAGGACTGAGTGCCAGCATATTCCTCCCGATTGGTCTCTAAAATAGTATAAAGTTAAGAAATAAGTTCCTAGTGCCTACATATTTGCCAGCCGACACACGCTCCCCCACTTGAAGGTGTCCATAGGGGCAATGTAAACACTGCCTTTTCTCTGAAAAAGCAGTGTTTGCATGAAAATGCCTGCATATAATGATTATACTCACCAGAACAACTACATTAAGCTGTAATTGTTCTGGTGACTATAGTGTCCCTTTAAAGAACAGATTTTGACGACCTTGAACGTCATTGGGCTGTTTGTGTAGTTTTTTTTTTTGTGTTTAGTCACTTAGACTTGATCTTTGCTTGCTCCTATTCCGCATAAACACAAGTGTTAAAATGAAGGTGCCAAATGTGTTTTGTGTTAACTTGTGCGTCAAAGTTCACATTTTAGTATCTGTACACAAAGTGTAATATGGATTGTGTTCTTTTATCACTCACTGTTACATTTTGATTGGTTGTAGGATTTCTACTCTGGTGTCTTAACTATCAAATGTGGCACTTGAAGCTGTAAGAGGGATACATTCTAACTGTTAATGTTTTACATAGAGATCTAAATTGTGTCTTTATATTTGTTTTTACAACCCTAAGCACACATTCTCTTGTTGTGACTCTCACAGCCTCCATAAAAAAAAACATTTTTCAATCACATGTTAGTCAGCACAGTGTGTTTACTTTAGCAGTCCCCATCTCCTGCTATTCTATTTGAACTTTACACACAAGAGGCTGTTGCAGGCTACTAAGAGCAGAAACTAAGGAAATCTCAATTAAAAGACCTACCTCCTCCCCCCCAATCAAGTTCTCCCTCAGCCTGATCCTCCACATCCCCTTGATTTAAGAAAAGGGATGTCAGGGAAGGGGTGTGTGCTTAGGGGAGAACATGGGTAGCCTAGAGTCAGCGGCAGTCTAATGCTGCTGCTGTAGTAGGAGTTACACATCTGGCTGCAGAGTGTGTGAGTCGAAGTCAGTGGAGGTGTGGTTTTAATACATACATAAAGTGATTAAAGGGACCTTGTAGCTACTAGAGGTGCTTCCTGAGACAGTGTTTCACTGCCATTCAGTGTCTCCACCTCTGCATGAAGACATTGAACTTTCCTCATAGAGATGCATTGATTCAATGCATCTCTTTGAGGAGATGCTGATTGGACAGGGCTGTGTTTAACTTGCACTGGCTCTGCCTCTGATCTGCCTCCTTGACAGTCTCAGACAATCTAATGCTTTCCTATGTGAAAGCATTGTGATTAGCTCAGCCTCCAAGCTGACAATGAGGGGCAGAGCCAACAGCAGCAGACTGGAGTAAAGGGGGAAAAAAGCCAGCTCCATTTAAAATGATGGTTTGTTCTCCCAGTTATTTTAATGTGATATCTTGTACTGAACATTTGCAAGTTGTTGCCCGTTAACCTGCTGTTATGATATACACAACTTTGTGTAAAGAAAATACATAAAATTCATCTACACATTGTGGTCCCAAAATTACAAAATATACAGATATTTTTTTTGATAAAGCTATCAAATAATGTTATCCCTCTTCAACATGCCAGTCCTTTCTCAGAAAAGCAGGGCTATTTCAACATGATTTGTGGGTGACACAGTGGCACTTATGACATTGCTGGAGAGTAGATGAGGGATAATTTAGATCTTTTTGGTTATGAAATAAATATCACTTTTAAATTATGCAATACATAGTGTTCTGTTCATAGAGAAATTGTTTTTAATATATATCTGATGAAACTGTTTAGTGATTCTGAATCATTGGTAAAGGATGTATGGAGCATGGCATCTCAGGAAGAAAGCAATTGTTCAAAGTGATTTGTTTTATGTTTGTGTGTGTTTTTGTTTGCTGCTAACAATTCTGTATAACCTCTCTTCACTAGACTAGACACTTATCCAACTGGATTTAAGGTTGATTGGTGCACATTTCAAGATTTATTATATTCACATGCTTTGCCTGATGCTATATGGATTCACACAGTAAAATCATGGGACATGATTTTTTTTGCATTGAATCCAGGGCCTGAGGGTTTTTTTTGGGGGGGTGGGGTGAAGCAACTAATGACTAACTTTTTAAACTAGTTTTTTTGAATGTGGATTTACCTTCTGAGTGTCACTTCCCCCACAAAGAATGTAATTTTTAAAGTTTAGTGACACTTTAACTTTTGTCTCACCTAGTCACCTGATAATTCAGCATTGTATGGTCATTTTGAAGATAACACTTGTACTGGTCACTCATACACAATGTTTTCATGATTGATTGCTTACTTTACTGCGTAACAAACCTACAATTCCCAGTGGATTACAGCCCTCAAGCACCAGGTTTAAGGCATCCGTTCAAAACACCCATACCGAACACTTAGTAGGTGATAGCTTCTAATTAATTCAATTGTAATCCTAATTTGATCAGAGATCAGTCTGTTAAACTAGCTAAATATAGGAAAGGCATTGGAGGTATACGTTCATTAGTTTTCTGGCCTACGTGTCCAGTCTCATGTGTCTATGTACTCTACAGGGAATGTTACTCCTGCACACTATGACGAGCAGCAGAACTTCTTTGCGCAGATTAAGGGATACAAACGATGTATCCTTTTTCCACCAGAACAGTTTGAATGCCTCTATCCTTATCCTGTTCATCATCCTTGTGACAGACAGAGCCAGGTGAGAAAATTCTGGGAAAGCCCTTTGCTAAAATGTCACCACAGCCTATGACTTGTAGATTGCTACAATTACCGTACGTATGTGTCTGTAATCAGAGCCTGGTGAATTGCAATATCAATTCGTACAAAACTTAACCTGGGGTTGAACTGGTCTGTTTGTTCATTTTTCATTTTGAATTTTTAGCTGTTGATATAATTTACCTATAGGAGTGCCTAAGTTATTTATTTATTTATTTATTTTTATATATATATATATATATATATATATATATATATATATTATAATTTTTATTTTTTTTTCCCATCTTCTCTGCACTGCATTATGTTTATTTCAATTAGAGCAGGTAACGTTTAAAACATTGTGACCTAAGGGGACACTATAGTCACCAAAACAATTTAAGCTTAATGATGCGGTTTATGTGTATAGATCATGCCTCTGAAGTCTTGCTGCTCAGTTTTCTGGCATTTAGGAGTTAAAGCGGCACTGTCATGGCCAAATCCATTTTAAAAAAAATTTATTTATTTTTTTAAAACCCCCTCCCCTCCTGACTCCACTACATCTAACTGTCCCCCTAGTCACCACCAAATGCCCCTAAGCCTCTTTTTAAATCTTTATTTCGTGCCCGGACCTAGGTCATCTGCCCACACTAGATAGCGCTGTGAAATTCCCATGCATGCCCAGTTAAACACTTGAGCATAGCATGTGAATGGAAATTTCATCCATTCATTCATCATTAAGTTGAATACAAATTTCAAACGAACGAAGAGCTCTTCGTTCATTCCTTTGATCTATTACAAGGAGGGAGCTACCGGCACGCAGCTCTCTATTTGTAATATGTAAAAACAGAAGTGGCAGGGAGCAGAGCTCCCGCCACTTCCTAAGCCCTCCATGTCCTCCCTCACTCTAAGGGGTCAATATGGCCCCCAGAATAGCATAAGGGAAATTGTCTAGCCGTCGGGGTTATAAAACCTTCTTCTTTTTTCAGGCCCAAAAAAGGCCAAATAAAAATCCATAATACCCGTCGAACTTTGAAAAAAAAAAAAAAAAAAAGTAATCCATCTTCACCCATAGAGGGCATGGCGCAGACTGAGCTCCACAGGGCGGGGAAAGGCTTATAAAGCCTTCCCATGCCCTGCAATTTGGCTTGCAGCACTCTGATTGGTTGGCTTGGAATCAACCAATCAGAGGGCTCTGACAGGTAAATGAAAACTGACAGCTAGGTCTCTACATTTACCTGTCACAGCACTCTGGTTGGCTTGGAATCCAAACAATCAGAGTGCTCTGTGTCATTTTACACAGTGTGGGAAAGTTCTTTGGAACTCTGCATTATATGCAAACACGCACACACGCTCGAACAAACACGCGCTCGCGCAAGCACGCGCACGCATACACACTCTAACACTCTCTCACACACTCTGTGTGTGTGAGAGAGAGAACTGGGTGGGGGGAGGGCATTTTTTTTAAATTTTAATATTTTTATTTATTTTTTGTCCCCCCTCCCTGCTTGTTACCTGGCCAGGGAGGGGGGCTATCTTAATCCCTGGTGGTCCAGTGGATGGGCTGTGCAGTGGGTGGGCCAGCAGGAAGCATTTACTTACCTTTCCTGCAACTCCTGACAGCTCCCTTCTCCTCCGTTCCGGTCAGCTCCACTGTAAATCTCGCGGTCTGTTACCATGGTAACCCGTGGCAACGCTCAGACGCCGCAGCTCTTGCGAGACTTACAGTGGAGCTGAACGGAACGGAGGAGAAGGGAGCTGACAAGAGCTGCAGGAAAGGTAAGTAAACTCTTCCTGCCGGCCCCCAACAGGACCGCCGGGCTTATGAGCCCAGCGGTCCTGGTCTGTATTATGGCAATGTAAGTTGCCATAATACAGACCTTGACTCGAGTATAAGTCGAGTGGGGGGTTTTCAGCACAAAAAATGTGCTGAAAAACTCACCTTATACTCGAGTATATACGGTTGTTGCTTTTCAGCAACAATAAAGAGACACAGTTGTACAGCAAAACATAAGTACATGGAGGGCACTGTTGGCGTACATTCTTTTGCTAGAGTTTCTGAATTTCTCTTATATTTTATAATGCACTTCCTCTAAAATACGTTAAAATTAAAAAAATCCACCCCTTTTACCCTGATCTCTGAGACATTACGGTGACACATTATTTGACCTCAAGACAAAATGGTTCCATTTATTACCTTTTGGTTCTACTGGGCAGAGTTCTTGCCTAAATATGGGGTGCAGCCTAAATCCAACTTACAATCTGCCATGATGTGAGCTCTGTGGTATAGATATACAAAATCTCCTTTAGAGACACCAAGTCCGCACAGAAAAACCTGTGTCCATTTGTATACCATAAGCTTTAGTGGTTATTGTACTTGGAAGATATTTTAAAACTGTTTTTGCGCTAAGTAATTGTTAAGAAAAGTGTGTCAATATTCAATCCCCACCTTGCATATCAACTTTAAATTCTGAAGAAAGATATTTAGATCACACAAATTAATCACCAGTGCTGACAAAGCCTGCTGTACGTGTCAAGTCATGAAAGCCCTGGCAAACATCTATCAGATAACACAGGACTAGTGGGAAGTAAATAAAGACTGATAATAGCAATAAAGATTTAGGAAATTGTGGTCACACAAAGTGGACATTGCAGTCTTCTCTTCTGACTTTTGCATGATGGTTCTTGGATGAAAAATACTGTTTAAAGTTTAAAATTCTAAACATGAGAGAGAGATGCTAATGCTTGATGATTTCTGGTCCATTCAGAGGCTTCTCAGAGAACATAGGTCTGTGGCGCATGTATGTCAAATGCTGTGCTCCACCTGTAATTTAGCTTTTGTTGATGAGACCGAAAATAGGTCTTAAAGTGTTACTCCAAACACCAGGACCACTTAAGTGATTTACAAGGGTGATAGGAGTCTGTATGTGCAGCATTTCATAGTGAAAGCTGCAGAGTTTATCCTATCTGCTGCTAAAGGTATAATTCCACCTCTAGTAGTGTCATGGGTCATCATTAGCCATCCCGGGACTAAAGTTCATATTCCTGTGTACAGAGTTGCATTCCTTGGCTGAGAATGGTTTCAACCCATGAATGGCCAATTGGATTGAACTTCTGCATCTAGGGGTCCTCTGAGCTGTACTGCCGGTTTAATTTTCCGCTACATCCTACTCTTAATGGCGCTGCCGAGACTTCTGTTAGTTCAACCACTCAAGTGTTGGGATTGTCCACGTGAGGGTATTTTGAATCTTATGTTCCATTTTCTTCCACCACAACAATCTTGGGCTCAGCTTTAAAGGAAAAACTATTTGTACACATATTTAATAAATTGTAATGTCTTTTTATTTTTTAAATTTATTTATTTTCTTCGTTTGAATCTTTTGTGTATCATGTTAATCTGTTAATTTTATTAATACTAGGTGGACTTTGAAAATCCAGATTTTGAGAGGTTTCCAAACTTCAGGAATGTTGTTGGCTACGAAACAGTGGTTGGACCTGGAGATGTTCTTTATATACCTATGTATTGGTGAGGAAAATGGCAAAATGTATCAAATGTATTTCTGTTTATCAGCGGTGTGGAAATAAAAAAAAAAATTACAAAAACGCTTGTACAAGGGACTAAAGTGGTAGTCCAATCTTCTTACTGAAAACAAAATAATTTCAAATTACATGCCTAGACCAGGGCATTGACAGTGCTATCCACTAAACTCTGAATTTACATCCGTTAAATGCAAAAATAACTGGAAAAATGATCTGTTATAGGCCCAACTGGTTATTTTTTTCCTGTGTTCCACTATTCAGATTTAATTTGTGCAAAGTTGTCCTGTGCTATTTTTGTGTGTGTGTGTATTAGTTATGTTGTATGTAATGCATTGTCCCATACCAGCCTCTGCTCTCAAGGTCGTGTCCAATTACAATCTCTGCCCTGTATTTTTTTCAGCCTAGTTCCACCCATGTCTCATGCAACCTCGGTCTTCCCTGCCAAGTCTAAAATATATTTTTAGTCTCCCACTAACTAAGCCCAGTCTCCTACTCATACTCTCCAGTTATGTTGCAGATCACCTCCATCCTTGTACACAGCCATGTACACATTCATCTATTGCCTACTTTACTCTTTCCCCTCAAACCACACACATATTTCATATATTTTCTACCGCATACAAAACTAGATAACAGGCATGAGAAGATGACTGTTCCCTAAAGGCATTTCCAGTGTCAAACTGGTACTCTCTTGGTATCTGAATCTCAGCCCCTGTGACACTCAGGCTGAAAGTGCTGAAGATGGACTTGCTGTTTGCGGTTTGCTGTTGCATCCAAGGCTGAATACTTTGTATTGATAAAGTAGAGTTTTTAGGCTAGGGTATGGGAAAAAAAAGTTGCCTGTTTGATGCACTCTTCAAACTCTATTTTGCAGTGTTTTGTACGTATGGCATAGTTTGAATTCTTTGGAGAGTAATTTATTTAATTTTTTTTGCTATTTTAGGTGGCACCATATTGAGTCGCTAATGGATGGGGGAACCACAATTACTGTTAATTTCTGGTACAAGGTATGCAGTTTTTGTTTTTTTTCTTATTATAGCGAATACCTATCTCGCCCTCATTACTCTGAATTAATTCTTCTAATGCATGGAACATGGCAATGACTTATAAAGGGAAACTGCCACTAAATTACAGTACATGAAATAGCAGTTTGTATACACGTCACATTCAGATTTTTATAACCAAGCAAAACTTAACAATCTAAGCTCCAACACAACTTTAGCTTAATGAAGCCATTTTAGTGTATAGTCTCACTGAGAAATTCTGTAATTTAGAATTTAAATCCCCTTGGCTTCAATTTTTTGCAGCCCTAGTCATACCTTTCCGTACTGTGAATCACTTTTTCTCTATGAAAATAGAACGGTTTCATTTTCAGCCAGATCTAACAGCACATGTTTACTTTAGAAGTTTTCATTTTTAGTATTGGCAGATTAAAAAAAAAAAAAAAAGTCCTTCGTAGAGTCTTTTCTTTGTTATTGAAACAAACCATTGTAAAACATTAATGCAGTGTTGAAAGCATTCTTGCATAAGAAAAATATGGCAAACTGTTCTCGTTTCTGAGCAATGACTGAGTGTTTATACCAGAAGTAGGCAACCTTTGACTAGTTCTCCCATTGTGCTCTTATTGATAACGCTGGCAAAGCATCAGGGAAGATGTAGTCCATAACATTTGGAGTGACGAATGTTGCCTACCCCTGGTTTATAGCAAAGTAAAAAAAATAAGTTTTTCTTACTTGAAGTCAAAAGCCACATCACCAGACACTTATTGGACAGATTGCTTTTTGGAGAAAATTCTGAAATTGCCATGACTGTTATTTTTTTGTGGTCACCGACCGCAAATCGGGATGGTTTTCACCCTCAACACCGGACAAGACTTTACTTCTTGTTTAACATTCTTGTAAAGTGGATGTGTGTTTTCAGATAATTCTTGGTTTGAGGTTCTAGTAACATAACTCTTAAGTAAATGGCTCCACTCACACAAAGGTCATTATTAACCTATCTGACTTTTACTCCCACATTACTCATTTGTAGAATAGCTGTTTGAATATAATCACCCTCTGTATATATTTTGCTTAAAATGGAAAAGGAAGTATGATTTGTAAAAAGTACATTTTTTTTTTTTCTCTAAAATTTTTGGGTTTTCCCGTTGGCCTTTATAGTTTCAGTGTATCCCTTTAAAATTAATAAAGATCCCACCCTGTTTTTGTTTTAATATATTTTCTCTTTTCTTAATTGACTTTTTATTTATTCTTTTTCTTGTAGGGTAAGGCTTAAATAATTAGTACCAAGTTTTAGTCTGGGAATTGCACATAACCATCTGGTAATAAAGTGGACACCTTTTTAAACTTTTTTTTTTTTTTGTTTTGTTCTCATTTTCCCTTTTTAGATTTGGTGTAGATCCAAAAGGATTATTCGATGCACTGGTCAATAACTAATGCGTAAAAAAATAAAAATATTTACAAAGGCAGCTTTGATATCTAAAAAAGGAATCCTTTCACTTTGTTTCCTCGTCCTTTTTTTTTTTTTTTTTTTTTCCTTCATTTCCCGTTTCAATGTATGTCAAGGTCAGATAGTTATATTATCCAAATAGTTGTTATTCTTATGAGTTATAGAACTGTTTGGGCTTTGTAAACTGTGTTCGTTTATTTTGTGTGTTTTTTATTTTTTTATTTTAATTTAATTTTTTTAACTATACATCTATCCCTTTTCAGTTCTTTCTTCTCTCTTCCTTTTATCTACCTTTTTCTACCTGCTTCTCACACCTCTTCACAAAAAAACCTGAGGAGTATCCTGCCCAGTAGCATAGGGTCTACAGAAAAAAATAAATCCAGGTCTCTTCCAAGTTGGGCCAATCTGACAGGTCCAAACAAAGGAGTCCCCACCCAATTGTGCATTGGCAGCTGAAAGTTCTGTATAATCACAACCAATTTAACATTCAGTGTCTATTGAGGTTGTTTGTTTTGTATCTTTACTCCATGCATTAACTGTTTACACGGATAGCCTCTTAGCCGCTAAATAAATATAATAATTTTTATTTTGCTACATGTGACTACATTTCTTATGTGAGTTCTCATGTAGGCTATCAATCCCACAATGTGCCTCACACATTTATTGGTACTTAGATTTCAAAACATTTAGTGGTTTTAATGAGAATGAGACAAAACTAGTCCAGAACGTATCTTAACTTTGTAATGTTATGGGCCTGGATATCTATTTGTGCTCAGCTGCCAAACAAGACATTGAATACAATGCAGTTATGTCATGAACCAATGCAGACAAGTAATGGTTTGTAACTAGAGGACTTTAAAACCAGCTTGGTTATAATTTTCTATATCAGTGCGAGCTGTGGTAAGAAGGTTTGCTGTGTCTGTCAGCGTAGTGTCCAGAGCATGGAGGCGCTACCAGGAGACAGGCCAGTACATCAGGAGACGTGGAGGAGGCTGTAGGAGGGCAACAACACAGCAGCAGGACCGCTACCTCAGCCTTTGTGCAAGGAGGAACAGGAGGAGCACTGTCAGAGCCCTGCAAAATGACCTCCAGCAGGCCACAAATGTGCATGTGTCTGCTCAAACAGTCAGAAACAGACTCCATGAGGGTGGTATGAGGGCAAGATGTCCACAGGTGGGGGTTGTGTTTACAGCCCAACACCGTGCAGGACGTTTGGCATTTGCAAGAGAACACGAAGATTGGCAAATTCGCCACTGGCGCCCTGTGCTCTTCACAGATGAAAGCAGGTTCACACTGAGCACATGTGACAGACGTGACAGAGTCTGGAGACGCTGTGGAAAACGTTCTGCTGCCTGCAACATCCTCTAGCATAACCGGTTTGGCAGTGGGTCAGTAATGGTGTAGGGTAGCATTTCTTTGGGGGGCCGCACAGCCCTCCATGTACTCGTCAGAGGTAGCCTGACTGCCATTAGGTACCGAGATGAGATCCTCAGACCCCTTGTGAGACCATATGCTGGTGCGGTTGGCCCTGGGTTCCTCCTAATGCAAAACAATGCTAGACCTCATGTGGCTGGCGTGTCAGCAGTTCCTGCAAGACGAAGGCATTGATGCTATGAACTGGCCTGCCCGTTTCCCAGACCTGAATCCAATTGAGCACATCTGGGACATCATGTCTCGCTCCATCCACCATCGTCCCATTGCTCCACAGACTGTCCAGGAGTTGGCAGATGCTTTAGTCCAGGTCTGGGAGGAGATCCCTCAGGAGACCATCCGCCACCTCATCAGAAGCATGCACAGGCATTGTAAGGAGGTCATACAGGCACGTGGAGGCCACACACACACTACTGAGCCTCATTTTGACTTGTTTTAAGGACATTACATCAAAGTTGGATCAGCCTGTAGTGTATTTTTCCACTTTAATTTTGAGTGTGACTCCAAATCCAGACCTCCATGGATTGAAAAATTTGGTTTCCATTTTTTTTTATTTTTTTGTGTGATTTTGTTGTCAGCACATTCAACTATGTAACAAACAAAGTATTTCAGAAGAATATTTAATTCATTCAGATCCAGGATGTTGTTTTTGTGTTCCCTTTATTTTTTTGAGCAGTGTATTATCTCAATATATTTATTGGTGTAAAAATAATAATAATATATACTTAGATCATATGTTGATCTAAGTATATATATATATATATATATATATATATATATATATATATATATATATATATATATATATATATATATATATATATATATATATATATATATATATATACATACACACACGTACACCGTCTAGGTGTATTTTACTATTAATAAATATATATATATATATATATATATATATATATATATTGTTATATATATTTATATATAATATAAAAATGTAAATACGTTAAAAAATAAAATTAAAAAAATAATTAAAAATAAATAATTAAAAAATATATAGATGTGTGTTATTTCGTTCTAACTGTTATATATATCAAAATACACGTAGAACGAAATAATATATATATTTATATACATAAATATATACGTATATATCACTATATATACACCTATATATAAATAAAAATATTAAAAAAAAATTATATAGATATATACATATATACACATACGTATATATTAATTCTACATATATTTATGTAATATTTTTACATAATTAGGTATCTTAATTAATTACAATTAGCAGGACCTGCCTGACAACCCATGCCGAAAGTAAAGGGAATTTAATTTGCTAGCACTATATTTAACCCTATAACTTTCCGAGACACCATAAAACCTGTACATGGGGGGTACTGTTCTACTCGGGAGACTTCGCTGAACACAAATATTAGTGTTTCAAAACAGTAAAATGTATTACAACGATGATATCGCCAGTAAAAGTGAAGTTTTTTGCATTTTTCACGCACAAACAGCATTACACGGACAATATTATTGCTGTGATACTTTTTACTGTTTTGAAACACAAATATTTGTGTTCAGCGAAGTCTCCCGAGTACAACAGTACCCCTCATGTACAGGTTTTATGGTGTTTTCAAAAGTTACAGCGTCAAATATAAGGCTTGTGTTTCATTTTTTTCACATTAAAATTCGCCAGATTGGTTACGTTGCCTTTGAGACCCTATGGTAGCCCAAGAATAAAAATTACCCCTATGATGGCATACCATTTGCAATAGTAGACAACCCAAGGTATTGCAAACAGGGTATGTCCAGTCTTTTTTAGTAGCCACTTAGTCACAAACACTGGCCAAAATTGGCGTTTTTTTGCATTTTTCACACAAACAGATACTAACGCTAACTTTGGCCAGTGTTTGTGACCAAATGGCTACTAAAAAAGACTGGACATACCCCATTTGCAATACCTTGGGTTGTCTACTATTGCAAATGGTATGCCATTATGGGTGTAAATTTCATTCCCGGGCTACTATACAGTCTCAAAGGCAACGTAACCAATCTGGCAAATTTCAATTTCAAATGTAACGTGCTATATTTGACCCTGTAACTTCCCAAAACGCCATAAAACCTGTACATAGGGGGTACTGTCTTACACGTGAGACTTTACTGAATATAAATATGTGTATTTTATTGCAGTAAAAGCAAACAGTATTATGACACTGACCGTTAAAATGTCATGTAGAACTAAAAAAATCCCCAAAAAACGTATTTTCTCCCATTTTTTTCATATTAAATTATGTTTCATAGCTAAATATTTGATATTAAATGAAAGCCCTGTTTCCCCTGAATAAAATGATATATAATAAGGGTGGGTGCATTTACTATGAAAGAGGTGTATTACGGTTGGACAGACATGTAGCGCAAATGCCAGGTTTTGTTTACATTTTGTTTTGTTCACAATGTGTACATTTGGCTCCGTCCTTAAGGGGTTAATAATCTGGCAATATACATTGTTGCTAGTTTCTTTTTGTTGTATTGTTGGTAGCCGGTTCATATTGTTAGCACCTATTAAATAACCCATTAAAATATCAGTGTGATGTTTGGGTTTTGATTATGATCTTGTTGTTTTTCATTATTAGGGTGCTCCTACTCCAAAAAGGATAGAATATCCTCTAAAGGCACATCAAAAGGTCGCCATTATGAGGAACATAGAGAAGATGCTTGGAGAGGCTCTTGGAAATCCACAGGAGGTTTGTGACACTCTTTACTCATTGCATGCTCACAGGATACATGACGTCTGTTAAATCTGTGTGTAGTTGACTTTTTGGAACGTACCTTTGCATTTGGTACATAAATCTATGGCAGTGGATTGAATGGTTGTATCTAGACCAGCCTGCACTGAATTATATGACAATTCATTTTGTGTGAGGTTATTTTTAATCCAGTGGTCCACACACCATTTTTTATCAGTCATTTTTTTCTGAATATGGGAAGTTCCTGAATCCTAACCCATTGGTGGCCTTTGTACTGGTTTTCAAAACACTGATTACATTCACTTCTTTCATAGAAATTCATTCTTATAAGCTTTTTATTGAAAGCCTTGTTTACGGTATAGAAGCATAAAGAAAACAAAATTCTGTTCTTAAAATAGCATGTTTATAAATCAAGATGGTGGAAGTTGCAGTACAAAAACTGCTGTCAGAATGCCTTTTCTCCCTCATGGTTCCTTAAAGAAAAAACCCCCAAAAAACAAATCATGCCATTGAATATTTTTATTTGAGAGGCTGTTAAACTCTGCTTACACCCTGTCCATAACTTGTACAATATATTTTCTTCTTGCCAGGTGGGTCCATTGTTGAACATGATGGTTAAAGGTCGCTATGATGAATACAACTGTAATAAGCAGTGACATTGTGTGTGAGACTCTGCTGCTGAGTTACTGCTGCTTTAGCGATGTATTTCAAGAACAGACAAGTGATGAGTTCTACTGAGAATGGGAGCACTTATCAGGCTTAACTGGTTCTCGGTACATACACCACTCAGTACTGTGTTTTACACTCCGGGCTGAAGAAGACTTAAAAAAAGTAAAAATCTATATATATCCACAAGTAAAAAAAACTAAACAAACTTAAAACAAACAAAATATCAACAAAACAATGCAACACAGCCACTCTCAGACAATGGCATTGAAGGCTTTTTTCCAACCTTGTGTCACTTTGTCTGCATGCAGATGTGTTTACTGCATTTATTCATGCTTCAAGTGCAGTATCCAAAGAGCTGGTATGATGAACACTTGTTTTATTTTGTGCAAACAAAGACTTTTTTTCTGTTTGTTCAGTTTATTTTTATGCAGACCAACATTTATTTCTTTTTACAATAAAACATTGGCCATACAGGCATTAAAGCATGCTAATTAATTGGATTTACAAGTTCGTGAAAGAATCGGTTCTGCAAAAAAAAAAAAGCTAATCAACGTCTCAGGCAAATATATTTCTGAATGCTATTTGGGCCACGATGATCGTTTTTTCAACCTGTTTTCAAGCGCAGATGACTGTTCAGTGATCATGTATACATGTTGGGGCTTGGAGAACTTTGCATATCCCCAAAGAAATCCCGTTTTCAGAAGGCAGACTTAAACTGTTAGACTAGTCATTCTTTGCGTGCAAAATTATTGTACAATTGGTTCAGCTGCATATAATGTTGTTTTTTTTGTTCCATTCTATCATAATGCACATAAAGAACTAACCGAAATGGTGAACATACCCAGTGCCTACTACAGCAGTTCTGTGTACAGATTGAACAAAAATAATTAAATCTGCTAATCTATTATAATATTCATATTGATAGTTGGCTTACTCAGGCAAATACTGGAATACCCAAGGTAAGTAATGTGAAAACGTCATTATTAGGTTGTGTTTTTGATGGGGACATAAAATGAGTTTTGCGGTTTGAGATGAGAATGTGTTTCCTTTGGTGACAATGGGTTTTGACGCAAAGACCCAAGTAGTTTTAAAACAATTCTAGTCTGTGAGTGCCTATAGGTGTGGAGGAGGGACACTTGCTCCCCTGAGTCTTGGATCCACTGTCACAAAGACATCTGTACCCTACATTGAGCTCTATAGTGTCAGAGATGGATTTCAGTTTTGTACTTATCATAGTCTTGTCCCCTTCTCTGCCATGCACGTTCTCTCATTCCCATAAGCAACAGTTGTGCCCCATGTACAGCAGCTGACATGTTTAATTTAGTTACACAGAAGCATCGTCCGACATGGAATGATGCAGGTGGAGAAATAGCGTAACACAAGAACCAGTTTGATTTGCTTTTCCTTTTTGTTTTTTTTGTTTTCTCCTTTCAAACTGTAAATTTGTGTGAGACGTGGATGAAAATATGTATGGCTATTAGTACTCACCCCATCTGAAAAACTACTAATGAAGAATACATATACCAGGGATAGATGGCACTGTAGGTTGGCACTCTTTATAATGTGCTTCCTTAGGGTCGTCAAACACGTAAGGAAACAGGGGGTCTTTGTGTGACATCATATCTTCGTGTTCATTAAATGGCCACAATTTACACAAGTTTTTTTTTTTTTTTTTACATACAAGCCTTTTTTATTGTTTTGTTTTTTCCTTCGGTAAAAAAGAGCTTTAAGTGCTTTTGTTTACACCTGCTACCACCCAAAATATGTTGTTTCTTCCTGTAGTAAATGCATAACCAATAAATATATTGCATAAAATACCTTTCTATTTAGACATTACCAACCCTTTAAGCCAGGGTTCAGAATTTGCACTTATCCCCTCCTAAATGGAAAGTGAAAATTGAACAAAGGAGAATGAGTAGTTGAGTAGAACACAGCTGCATACTGCTTGCAGCCATAAGGTGTTGTGAAGCCAGTCAAGGGTTCTGATACTTTAGGGATCAGTCTTTCCTTGCTACATTAAAAAGAGCACGGCCTTGAGGAGCTGTAAATTGGCTGATTCTAAACACTGCTCCTGACTGCTCAGTTTGTAGTAATGTGTAAATTCCCTACAAAGCGAGCCACAAAGTTTTTAAAACGAGCCAAATAACAGCTTCCCGAGTCTCGATCCTGCCACTGGCCATCAGAGATGAACGCTTTCTGTTCCAGTTAGCATGCAGGATGGGGGCCCTCATAGGATATTAAAAGTAATGGCTAGAATAAAAGTGATATATTGGGAAAGATAAGGGGCAGATATTGGTAGAATGGAGGAGGCATAAAAGACAAAATTGGCATAAATTGGTCGATAGTGGTACATAGTGGGAGAGCAAGGGGTACTGAGGAGAGGTAACATGAAGATGGGGTACATGGAAACTCCACAAATAAAAAAACAAACAAAAAAAACCCTCTATTTCGCTCTTGCACTCTCTCTACACAAACACATCCCTGCATTCACACACACACTACGTGCAATGAACACATGTATTAAAACCAAAATGCATATTCATTTTAAGGTGACTAGTACATTTTAGGCTTCGCTACTAGATCAGGACTTGAAATTGTGAGCCCTGGTTTCAGCTATGCAAGGAAACACAGTAGAGATCAATGCTGACCAGGTCTTTTCTGACATAATTTGTATTCCCTCCACAATTACATCAACAAGTTTATCTGGATTCCCATGTGTTCAGCTGATTAAATGATGACCTCATATTTCTGTGTAGTATTTATCCTATGGTTCCCAGTTCTTTGTTGTGCTGCGCCAACATGTTTTTTCCCACTCTATCTTTTAACATTTAGCAGGTATGGTACACAGTGCATGGTTTTCAAATGTAATTATGTTGCGGTTTTTATATTAATGAGTGACTACATCTAAGCTAAGCCAATGACTAAACATTTCCCCCTTGTCATAAAATGTATCCAGGCATGTCTGCATTAATGCATTCTTTTTTAACATTGTTTAAGAAAAAATTTTTTTTTTTTTTTTACACGGAGTTATATTATCCTTGAACCACTGTTAAAATGTTTAACAAACCTCACCTTGCCAAAAAATATCACGCAAGAGAGGGTTAAACTCTTTTTAAGGTACTTGTCAGAAACTGCCTATGTGTGGATCATTTTGACTGTTGCCTTTGTTTTTCCACTTTTTTTTTTTTAAATCAAAAACTTTTTTCCTTGTGAATGTTGATCTGAACTGAAATGTTATGTTAGAAAATCTCATCTGTTAAAGGTTATATAAATCAAGAACATTTATATATCCTTTTTACAAACCTGCCCTAATTATGGCATCATTTTATTTCTCTTCTCATTAAACTTGATCCTCACAATTACCTGCTAAAGTGTTCACACTATTTAATGTATATTTTATAATATTTTTGTGTGTTTTATGGCATAGTTATCCTTTTTTTTTTTTAAGCGTGTGGGCACCTGAAGGTTATAAAGAATATCTTTCCATTATTTCAGTATTGATTAGGGTAATGGGATAAAATTGATTTAAAAAGGAAAAAATAGGGATGTGACAAGGCTTCATCTAAATTACACCCTGTAGAAATTTTGTATTAAAATTATATATATTTTTTTTAATAAGCACAATGTTGTATCAGTACTCATAATATTTTTAAATACACAATTCCGTATTACAATGAACTATAAATGCTGAAAAATGTCACACACATAAGATTGCTTTTTATTTCCACTTATTTTCAATATGAACATTCTCTGGATTGCTTTTAATTTTTTTTAAAATAACCAAATAGATGTTTTGTTCAAGACATCATGTTTCAGTTGATTATTTGGTGTGAATACTGTTCTGTCTTGAATAAAGCAGTTATTTGGGAATGCTGTCTTTATTTGTGGATAAGTATTTGGTAGGAGACATGCACTGTGGTAAGTGGGAAATGCCATAATATTAAATGGATTTACGTCGTTAAGGCAGCTTTTAAAATGAATAAAAAGTGTGGAATGGCTACAGTTTCTTTTAGTTATACATTTGTGGAGTTGCCATCAATATGTATGAAAGAGACAGTTCTGTAATTGTTTTGACCAAGTCTTGCCAATTACCAATAGCATGGTTATCCTGTCCCCCTACAAATTGGTTGGTGCTACATTGCATTTTGTGAAAGTTTACACTAAGCTCGGGGGCCCATGTCGATTCTTAATGCTCAAATTCCAATCTTTCAATTATGTAAACTAATATTTTTAAGGGACCTGTTAATGCGAGAATGAAGATTTCTATATTGAAAATGAACTACAGCATTACTACCACTTGGGGGCAGAAGTGGTAAGTCTTCAATTTTGTCTCTGTATTTCAAGAAGCACCGTTACTGAAGATGTCTACAAATGCATGTGTATATATCTCCTTGGATATTTACGTGATGTTTCACACAACTGGAAGGGCTACAATTTGGATAGAATTTGTATCCAAGGTCTATAACGTAGGACATTTCTACCTATTAACAATTTGCATGATCTGTACAGAATGCCAATATTTTGGGAGCCTTTTGATGGTTGTACAGGACCAGAACACACTAAGCTATTCCCTAATTATGTTTCCATACAAAGTGCTAATCTAATTTAAGCATGATTCTTTAAAGGGACACTTCAAACACAAAAAGCACTTCATTCTGCTGAAGTGCTTTATAACTGTACAGTATGCCTTTTTTATTTTATAAAAGTGTTTATTTCAGTATAGGAATAAGCACTTTTAGAAATTACTTCTGTAACATTTCCAGAGAGGTTGTTAGGTATTCTATTGCTTTCATTAGTTCCACTGAGCTAACGGATGCGACAGGCGTGCTTGGCTTGAGTCATTTGTATTAGTGTACTAAATGGACTAGGACTGGAATTAACTGGAGTCTTTTTATTGTCCTTGAAGAATACTACAATATTTCTTTAAACCAATTGTATATGATTGCACTAAACCTTTTGTCTCCCTCTCCACTCCCCACCCCCCGCCCTCAGCTATTAGCGGCCAGAAGGGACCCTAAGTGACAATATGAAGGGGACCCAAAAAAGACCACAAAAAAAAATCCATAAAACCCGTTTAATAATTTTTTTTTTTAAACCACGCCAAAAAGTACCCCAAAAAACAGGCGATGAAAAAATCCATCTTCACCCGGAGCAGACTGAGCTATGCAGGACGGGGAAAGTCTTCTAAAGCCTTTCCATGCAATTTGATTTAGAGCACTCTGATTAGTTGGCTTAAGCAGGTAGAGCACCAATCCGAGTGCTCACTGTGATTGGTTGATTGGCTTAAAGGACCACTATAGGCACCCAGACCACTTCAGCTTAATGAAGTGGTTTGGGTGCCAGATCCATCTAGGATTAACCCTGCCTGCTGTAAATATAGCAGTTTCAGAGAAACTGCTATGTTTACAAATGGGTTAATCCATCCTCTAGTGGCTGTCTCATTGACAGCCGCTAGAGGCGCTTCCGCGCTTCTCACTGTGATTTTCACAGTTAGAAGACGCCAGCGTCCATAGGAAAGCATTGAGAATGCTTTCCTATGGACTGGCTGAATGCGTGCGTATGCGCATTCAGCCGATGACCAAAGGAGGAGGAGAGCCCGGCGCTGGAGAAAGGTGAGGTTGTTAACTCCCTCTCCATTCAGTCCGGTGGGAGTGGGAACCTGAGGGTGGGGGCACTACAATGCCAGGAAAACGAGTTTGTTTTCCTGGCACTATAGTGGTCCTTTAAGCCACATTTGGTTTGGCCGAAATTTGGCCCATTTACCGGCATCCTAGTCTAAATGACAGGATGTTCAGAAACAGTGAATGAAGCATCACAAGATCATGGAGGAAAGGTGAGTATGATGGGAAAACTTTCTTTGATTATAGGAAATGGACCTAACTTAAGCTCCTCCTTTGGTCAAAGAAAGTACTCCCTACTTTGTCTTATACTTTAAAGAAAACTAGATCAGATATGAAGACGAGAACAGATTCTGAGAGAGGAAGTGAAGAGGAAACAATAGGAGAAAGGTAAGTTTGGTGTGACTGTGCCGCTTTTAGAAACACAAGGTAGTAAGGGGCACAAAAAGGGGTGTAAGACATTCAAAAGGGATGATAAGAGACCGATAAGGAGAGTAAGAGCACAAAATGGGAGGATAAAGACTCAAAAGTGGGAATAGAAACAATGAAATAGGATATTATCCTTAAAAGTGGGAATCAGACACAAAAAAGGAGTCATATACATAAATGAGGCAAAATGATGGGTAAGAGGGAGGCCTACACAGGCAAAGACTCATTTTTTAGGGAGGCAAAATGCATCTTCATCTGTTTAACCAAGCATCCTTCCATCGACTTTCCTGGCAATCCAGACAGAACAAAGACAATCAGGGATTTGCCCATCCGTTGCATAAATTAAACTGCTGGGTTAAATATACCAAACCACACAAAGTAAAATATGTTTACCAATTAAAAGTTCTACCGGGTGTTAAATAAGTGCAGAGTTTTTGAGATGTACCATCCCTCACTTCTGGGAAATGCTGTTTGATTTCTCTTTAGAAAAACCTGGAGACAAAATTAATTAAATGAGTAATCAGCGTTTGTGATATTTTACAGTACAGGGTTTTATATTATCCATAATTGAGGCATGTGTGTTAGTTAAAGGACCACTATAGTGCCAGGAAAACATACTCGTTTTCCTGGTACTATAGTGCCCTGAGGGTACCCCCACCCTCAGGGACCCCCTCCTGCCGGGCTCTGGGGAGAGGAACGGGTTAAACTTACCTCTTTCTCCAGCGCCGGGCGGGGAGCTCTCCTCCTCCTCTCTGCCTCCTCTCCTCTTTGGCTGAATGCGCATGCGCGGCAGGAGCTGCGTGCGCATTCAGCCAGTCTCATAGGAAAGCATTCATAATGCTTTCCTATGGACGCTTGCGTCTTCTCACTGATTTTCACAGTGAGAAGCATGCAAGTGCCTCTAGCGGCTGTCAATGAGACAGCCACTAGAGGCTTTAGAGGCTGGATTAACCTATTTATACACATAGCTGCTATGTTTATAAAAACAAAGGGTTAACCCTAGCTGGACCGGGCACCCAGACCACTTCATTAAGCTGAAGTGGTCTGGGTGCCTATAGTGGTCCTTTAACAATGTCATGCCATAGGAAAGTTACTGGTAAGTTGCAGACGTGCACCTTGGAATAACTGGATGGTGTATAATTATACAAATTGTAGTCTACTAACTGCTGGGGCTGTGGGTGAGCACTCCTCCTATGGCTATGCAATCTTAAACAGGAATACAGCTACTGTACCACTGCATTCCTAACTGATGGTTAAAGGGACACACTCAACAATAAACACAACAGCTGGTTGTATTGGTTCTGGTGCCTCCTACTCCCATTGCAAGTAGTTAAACTGCTTTTAAATGGTTTGATTTCTTACCTGGAGTATACCAAGTGCAATTCCCAACTGCACTAATTCCGCTAGCCAACTGGAAGCTCCTAAACAAGGAGCTTCTGTTACCTCTCCTGATCTAAGTGACTAGCTCATTGACTCATTGGTTGTTATTATTGGTATTGATAGAGTGACAACTTATAAACGGAGGGAAATTTAACAATAAATTAGACATTTACAAAATGATACAGGAGCAAGAGGTAGATGAGGACCCTGCTCAAAAGAGCTTACAATTAGAGATGTCGCGACCGTCCGCGAACTTCTCGCGAACGGTCGTGGCGAACTCCGGTCGGCTGATACATCCTGGCCAATCTCCAGCAGACGCTCCCTCCCAGACCCTCCTACTTCCTGGACAGCATCCATGTTGAAGCTGCCTTCAACATGGATGCTGTCCAGGAGGTGGGAGGGTCTGCCGGAGATTGGCAGGGATGTGTCAGCTGACCGGAGTTCGCCGCGAACGGTTCGCGACATCTCTACTTACAATCTATAGGAGATGAGGTATAAAAAACACAATAGGGCAGCAAAAGGGACAGCAACCAAACAAGATGGGAAAGTAGTAGAACTGAAGGTGAGAGTGGAGTGTGGCTCTTTAGAGACAGAGCAAGAGACAGATTTACTCTGGGAGGCCATAAGCATGGATTTTGAGAGACTCCTTAAACGATTGAAGGCTAGGGGAGAGTCTGATGGGGCTGCTCACTGTTAAAAAAAACAAACAAACCAAAAAACACTAAGTGTCCCCCCCCTCCCGAGCCCCCACCTGTGCCATGAGTGGCAGGTGGGGGCCCTAAATTAGAATAGGGGGGACCTATTGTCCTTCCCCCTGGCCCCCACCCTTGAGCAACAAGTGGGGGTCCTATATATCAATAAAAGGGGGGACATATTGTCCTTCCCCTGGCCCCCACCCCTAAACGATTAGAATAATGGGGGGACCTATTGTCCTCCTCCCCCGGCCCCCACCCCTGAGCGGTGGGTGTGGTCCCTAAATACCAATATGGGGGCACCTATTGTCCTCCCACCCCTGAGCGGTGGGTGGGGTCTTAAATACCAATATGGGGGGGAACCTATTGTCTGCCCCCCGGCCCCTACCCCTTAGTGGCGGTTGGGGCCCTAAATAAGAATAAGGGGGGACCTATTGTCCTCCCCTCTGGCCCCCCACCCCTGAGAGGCGGGTGGAGGCCCTAAAGACCAATAAAGGGGGGGACCTATTGTCCTCCCCCTGGCCCCCACCCCTGAGCAGTGGGTGGGGGCCCTAAATAAAAATGATACCCCCCCAAGAAGTCTAGGGGTCCCCAAACCCCTAGCCACCCCCCTCCCCCCAAAAAATGATAAACCCCTAATCATAACAACACTCTGATTGGTTGATTGAAAGCAACCAATCAGAGAGTTATGAGTCAAATTACACACTCTGGGAAAATTCCAAAGAACTTTTCCACGTTGTGTAAAATAACACAGAGCACTCTGATTGGTTGGATTTCAAGCCAACAAATTAGAGTGCTGTAACAGGTAAATGTAGAGACTTACCTGTCAGAGTGCTCTGAGCCTAATTGCAGGGTGGGACAAGGTTTTATTAGCCTTCCCCCGCCCTGCGGAGCTCAGTCTGTGCGGTGCCCTCCATGGGTGAAGATGGATTACTTTTTCAGCATCTGGTTTATTTTTTTCGTCTGATTTATTTTCAAAGTGCGACGGGTATTATGGTTTTTTATTTGGCCCTTTTTGGGGTTGAAAAAAGAAGATTTTAGAAAAAAGAAGACATCAAATGGTAAGTTTTATTTCTTTTTTTTTTTACAGGTACTTAGTTATTGTTCCTCCCTCACTATTTTTAGGGTGAGGGGGGTAGGTAGGGGTTTATCCATTTTTTTGGTTTCCCCCCTTATTCTACTTTAGGGCCCCCACCCGCCGCTCAGGGGTGGGGGCAAGGGGGGAGGACCTAAGCGGCGGGTGGGGGTCCTAAATAAAAATGGGAGGGGGGACACTTGTTTTTTTTTTTTTTAACAGTGAGCAGTTTACTAGACATGCCCCTAGTCGCGCTATAGCAAGTAGGGGCAGAATTTAATAATACTAAGTCATTTTTACTTAGTATTTGTAAATTTGGCTGAAAGACCAATTTAGATCTTTCAGCCTTTTGGTAGATAGCTCCCTAATACTGTGGGAATTAGGGAGTTATCTACTTACTCATTCCCATCCATTGACTGGCTAAGTAACTTACATTTTATATGAACGTGTTACTTGATTGTTGTAAGTGTTGGAAATGCTTACAGCTGAAATAGTTAGAATAATCAGTATTATCCAGGTACGTTGTGTTGAATTTGGTTGGAGTAAAAGAGGTTTGCAACAAAAGTAAAGAGGTAACAAAATCCAGTATGAATAAAGCAAGTTGGTCGAGTTGACTCCGGTAGTTGTAAAGTTGGTATGCAAACAAGGTAAAAAGATAATAATGTCCAATATGAAATAAAGCAGGTTGGAATTGGAAATCAGGATTTGTTACCAAGCTTCTTAGATAAGAGCAGTCTGGAAACAAGCAGGTTGGTTGAATAAATCAAGATGGTCCAAAAGTATTTGGAGTTGAGCAGGTTTTTTTAGAATGAGCCAGGAACAGAAGTAATGTCATGTCCAGAACCACAACTTCAATAAATGTAAAGGCAGTTTCCTTTAGCAGGGTGTGAACTCTTAAAGCAAGAGTAATCAGTCCAGGCAAGTGAGGATGAGAGTTCAGACATAGTGCTTAGGAAGGCCACTGGTGGCAAAACATAGTTACTGCAGAAACACTTGAATGAAGGGAATGAAATATCGAAATTAAAGGACCACTATAGGCACCCAGACCACTTCAGAGAAACTGCTATGTTTACACTGAGGGTTAATCCAGCCTCTAAAGCCTCTAGTGGCTGTCTCATTGACAGCCGCTAGAGGAGCTTGCGTGCTTCTCACTGTGAAAATCACAATGAGAAGACGCCAGCATCCATAGGAAAGCATTATGAATGCTTTCCTATGCAACTGGCTGAATGCGCGCGTGGCTCCTGCCGCGCATGCGCATTCAGCCGATGACGTCGCTAGGAAGAAGGAGAGGAAGAGGAAAGCTCCCCACCCGGCGCTGGAGAAAAGTAAGTGTTTAACCCCTTCCTCTCCCCAAAGGCCGGCGGGAGGGGGACCCTGAGGGTGGGGGCACCCTCAGGGCACTATAGTGCCAGGAAAACGAGTATGTTTTCCTAGCACTATAGTGCTCCTTTAAGGTTTGGATCCTGACAAGTAGAATGACTTTAAAATATCGCTTTTTTATTATCACTTACAAACGGCATCTATTTCCATCCAAATAACCTTAGACAATATATATTTCACTAAACAACAGTCACTTGATAATTAGGCCAAAATGAGAAGTCGAACACACTTTTGATACTAATTAGAAAAAAAATAAATAAGTATAGATCAGGTCAAAGAAGAGTAGTCTGATCACTAGTGGTCACTATTATAGTCTCCCTAGTCCTGTGTCATTGGTGATGCTGCCACACTGCTTGTTAAGCACTCCTGATGATCCTATTGTGGCAGGTGAAATGCATGTCGGGTTCATTCATGATAAATAGGGATGTCCTCACTGTTTTAGCGTGTTTGCTAGAGCTAGCTGGTCTTACATCTTGCACTATTAGTTATATGGTCATATTGTTTTATATGCCCACAGAACTGTGATTTATAGTGATACTTTTAAGCCCTTTAGACTGTTTACGGCATTACATCTTAGTACATAGTTTAGTTTAGCAAGCTGTGTGGTAGCATCACTAATGACACAGGCCTCGGGAGACTATAATAGTGACCACTTTTGGCATCACTGGGAGGGATTATTTTTACAATTATATATATATTTTTTGCAAATTTTATCAAAACTGTCAGACCTCTTTTTCAACCTAATGTATAATTATTTGTTTGCAAATAAGTTTTTCTGCAATCTCCATTTATAGGGCTTAAACACCCTGGTTGTGTGGAAAACCTTGACAAACGCTAGGGATTCTACCATGATTTGCTTTTCCTGTATATTTTAACAGTAATTCACAGAGATTGGTAAGTAGTGGTAGTAGTGTTATGGGTAAATGCAAATATTACAAGTTTTAGAATGAAATGTTGTATTTCTTAAACTGTGTACTTTGTCTTTAAGAGATATTGCAAATTGACAAGGTGTTAGAAAGGGAACATATTGTTTTTCATAGATGTTTCTTTAAGCAATAACCTCAGTGCATAATATGTTTGCGTCATTTTGTCCCAGATGAATTACAATAACAATAATGCATAAATAAGCTTCAAGGCTATGCTACGACTCTTTCAGTACACAATATACTGTGGTAACCCCAAGTTAATGGAACTTCCCCAAATCCGGGAATCTCCCACGACTGTGCACTCACGACTTAGTATAAACAGCAGATAAGCTATTCAGACTTTTAGGTGCCATCTTGACCTAAGTCAGGAAAATTTCCATGACTTATACACCCTTTAGTTATGGCCAAGTTAAGTCCTAAAATTAATAAAGTAAAAGAAGTGTTACTTTTTTTCATATATGAACTACGGTAACCTTAAAATGGAGACACCTAAGGTATAAATAGGTGTACTTTTAAATGTTAAGAAACGGAGGAGAGACTTGGAGACAGACGCTGCTCCATCTTAAAATGACAGAGAGGCTGACATGATGACATGTTCAGAAGGGTATGTTAACCTATTAATATTTGCAAGCATTTAGTTTAATCTTATAAACTCTGCTATAAAGGATTTTATATAATAAATATCCAAAAAGACAAAACTGTATTGCTTCCAAGACAATCCTTATTTTATATTGTATTCTCAATTATTTATATATGTTAAATAGAGGATCTCTTACACTATATAAAATTATAGCTAAGATATCTGTATGGTTAGCCCTGCTAAGTTCTATGCTTTAAGACATTATAGTGGTAAATAAGGGAACCAGCCGTGGTTACAGTAGTTATCTAGTTGTATCCTTAGCGGGTTAATAACTGGTTTAAATAGTGAATCAATAGTGAATCAAGGGTGTTCACGAATGCCCTGACATTTAATATGTGATTTGAAAGCTCCGCGGCTTGGATTTGCAATCCTGTGCTTTCAGGAGGGTAATCATTGAAACAGTCTTGGTAAAAAGCTGACTTGTTATCTTCCTGATGTACATGTTCTATGTAGTCAGACAATTTCTCTGTGACAAGTGAAGATGATTTGTATTTGAAGTTGTCAGTCTGGGTGCATCAGAGTTTATATAATCCATGCTCTGAGAGAAAAGAGTTGGTAAATATACAGGAAAGAAAATAAATACAAAATAGCTCGCAATGCTATGAAATGAACACTTTAAACAATGTTTAAAATATTTTTTATATATTTATTTTTAGATTATGCACATGTTCGGTCTCCCTACACAGAACCTGCCAAAACACAATTTCTGCCTGTGGTATCCATGTGGCTCTGTCTTGTACAATAAAATACACTATAAACTATACATTGTAGAGTTAAAATGGACTCTACCAATAATTTATTTTAGGTAAATTTCTCACAGACAAGGCGTAATCGATCATATGAGGTTGCTTTATCGGCCTGCATTTTGGGTCTGTGTCGCCATATTGGGTGGGATCAGTCTGATGTTAAAATGGTTTACGTAGCTAAGGGGAATGGGCCTTGACATTGCTAGGAGACAGGCATGGAGCGCGTGTAATGTTGGGGATGGGCTAGGAGAAAGTAGGGGAGGGGTTTTGGCTATGGGAGTATATAGAGGGGCAATTTTAGATTAGGGGTCATCTTAACTAATCCTCACTTACCTGTTGTTGTCCAATCCTCCCTCCCGTTTGTTTTGAGTACCCTTTGGTCACGGCAGTGGGGGATGGATCGAAAAGTTGGGGTGTAGGTCGTTTGTTCATCTGTAGGATAGGTTTAGTTAGCTAAGAACAGTTAAGTGAATTGGTATTGGTAGGTTCGAGCTCATTAGCTCCGAACCTGGTGTGTGGTATACACCTACATTGTAAAAAGTTGGACAATTATGCCCTTGGTGGCAATGGTTTTATTAATAGTATTATTGTATTATGTGTTATAATGGGGTATCTATTATTGTTTATGTGGGTCATTGTCTGGGGTAGAGTTGTGAAAAAGAAATGGGGTTGATATGCAATGTTCAAGTATGTTGTCATTAAAGCTGTGATAATTATCTTGGAGGGTTATGAGTTTTGAAAGCATATGTCAAGTACTGGCACAAGATGAACTAAAACCAGATTTAAAACTGAGTGTCAGGATCTTACTTGATGTGGAGTCCGACTGCAGAGTTATACGCTCACCCTTGCAAATAAACACAGACCAAGGTGACCAGGTAAGAAGCTACCTGGGCTGTGAGAATGTGCACGAGGGCTGTGCAGGAATATAGCTCCAGGTCGCAGTACAGGCAAGGACAATCAGGAGAGTAGAAGTAGTGGAAGCCCGAGGTCAGGAGTAGTAGTGGAAGCCCGAGGTCAGGAGCTGTCTGGAGAACAGAGAGAGGCAGTGTTTTATACTTGGCTAATTAGCGATATGCTTCAGGTGGACCGAGAACTGATAGGAGCAGCCACTGGAAAAGTCCAGCCCCCAGTGCTGGAGACAAGGCAAGGATAAACATAATGCTGAAACAAGAACAGAAGTGTGACTCCAAGGCTCAAGCTTGTAGGTGCCATAAATGGCTAGCCTATATTAAAATTGGCTAACTTGGATTTATGTAATGCTTTATGCTTAAATGAACATTGCCCACCATATATGTCTATTTCCAGGAGCAGAATAGCCCCCACTGGAGCAAAGTCTCATAAACTGTTATCTACTTTAAATACTCGGAAACCATCTGTTTTTGTGAACATGACCTTAAACAAATGTCTATATTTCTTATATTCTTTTCCCATGACGTATTTACCAATCTACTCATTCACTACTATCCTGTGTTGTGTGTCTTATTGCTTCTCCAAGCGCTTGATACAATGGATTCTGCCAGGACATGTGTGGATCTTTCGATGACAAGAGGCTAAACAGCAGGCCCAGGACACAGAAGGATCCAGGTTCATATCCCCTGTTGGGCACTTCTGGGGTGACCACGTCTGGCCATCTGGTGAGAACCGTGACACTGAGTTGGAACCCTACTTGAGCTGTTGTCTGTTCTCAGTATTCTTCTGCACACCGTTCTTTGGGGGATTGACAATATTCACATAATTGTTTCACACAGGACGGTGCACTCAAAGGATCCAACCCTATTCATTTTTTTTTAATGTTGTAGCTGTTCAACTAATATCACCAAGTAAAATATAGGTATTTTACCATACCAGGAAGTAACAAAGATAAGTAGATTTAATTTTCCAGTTTCCTTAGTTTTACCTACAAGTTGTCATTATTTGCCAATTCTCCATCATTTCCAGTTTAGTGAATAAATGCCCTAGTGAATTTCAGTCCACTTGAAAGAACCAAACAAATCCACTTTTTTCTGATACAATATTCATTACATAACTGCACTTTCACTAAATACTTTTTCTGGAGACCTCACTACCAATAATCTATTGTTCATTAATACAATGCATGAATAGATCTCCTACTTTCCATTTAATCAGATTCTCTTAGCAAACCCTTGTGAAATTACTGGGATTGTTACATCTTCATGTGGGTCTAGATATCTGTTGGGGGTTGCCTTTTAGTGACAAATGATGCATTTTTCATATGGAGAGCATGTCAATTAAGATCTGTGGTTTTTCTGCTTAGCTTCTGCATTGCATTTGGAAGAGTTCAAAATGGCAGATTTTGATGAGGGTACAGTCTTGTAATGTGATGTAGGGATATTGAACATCACTGCATGCTGATAAGAGCATGTTATAATCCAAGGAAAAATTAAGGCAATTTGCTGCTATGTTTCTGTTGTCATATCTATGCCATACAAACTATAATTGATTACAGTGTGTAGTATCCTCATAATTGAAGGTGTAAAAAGAGGAAAACATGAATAATCACAGGCTATGTCTTCCGTTTGATAAAATACAGTGCTCAATGTTTAGCGCTTTTATTCCTTTCTATATTTATTTTACAGGAATTTTTTTTTTTAGACATTTACATTTTTTAATGTGTGTTTTGTCTGTGTTGGCTGTCTCGTCCTATATCTCTTCGAAATCTCTGTACCTCCTGAGGTAGAACCTGTTTGTGATTAGTAGACTTGTGCATTCGGTTTCAAGTGAATTGCGATCGATGTTTGTCTAATGATTCAAAGTTCTGTCTGTGATGCACACAAAAAAAAAGATGATTGATGTATAAAAATATGATTGATGGCTAGGGTTAGCCAATAAATGTTGATTGACAACACTAAAACTACCTACCTTATACCGTGTAGGTTGCCCTCATGCTGCTTAAACAGCTCTGATTCGTCAAGGCATGGACTACACAAGACCTCGGAACTTGTCCTGTGATATCTGGCATCAAGACATTAGCAGCATATCCTTTAAGTCCTGCAAGTTGCAAGGTGGGGCTCCATGGATTAGATTTGTTATTCCAGAACATCCCACAGATGATTAATCATACTGCAATCTGGGGAATTTGCAGGCCAAGACAACACTTTCAACTCTTTATCATGTTCCTCAAACTATTCCTGAACATTTTTTGCA